CTCCCTCCCTCCCTCATGAACCCTTGATAATTTATAAATTATTGTTTTGTCATATCTTATACTGTCCGTTGTCTCCCTTAACCCACTTTTCTGTTGTCTGACCCCCAGGGAGGAGGTTATATGTAGATCCTTGTAATTGGTTCCCTAAAAGCTTGTTTACAGGCCATCCAAGACACTGGTCTCTATTCCCCTGGGGCAACAGAGGAAGAAGGAGCAGACAAGAATCAAAAGAGGCTGTAGAATGTGTGGCCAATTGCCTCCAGGGACAAATACCTTCCCTGTCATGAAACCCAGACAGCAGAAGGGACATCCCAACATTTTGCTCAAAGATTCCATAGAAGCCTGACTCCAAGGAGAAATGCAAGCCCGAGTTTCAGATTCTCCCCAAGAGTGTAGATTTTCTGGACTTAGGGGGTGTGGATGGACCCTGGAAACCGTGGCCCTGAGATCATCTTTAAACCAAAAACTATCCCCTGAAGGCGTGTTAACACTATCCGGTAGTTTAGTGTAGCTGAAGGAAGAATGAAACATTTCTCCATGAGCAGGAGGCTCTTTTAAGAACGGTCCCTGGAGAAATGCATCCTGTTTGGCTAAGCTCAAGGTCAGCAAGAAGAGGAAGGCCCTGGAGGAGATGAATGGACGCAGTGACCTCAACCAGGCCTCCAGCATGGCAGGCGGGAGGCTGGTGCAGGGCGGGCAGTGCCTGTTCTCGTGGGCGCAGGGTCACAGTCACTAGGAGTCAGCACTGACTCGGGGCACCTAACAAGAACAGCGGGAGGCTCCCTCTGTGGGGTGCAGCGAGCACACAGCAGCTCCGATCAGATGGAGCCTCCAGGGACAGGGAGTGTCCGCAAACAAGGAAGGGAGGGAGACTGCTTTGCACAACTCTAAGAATATCAACAGTTTCACCAAATTGTCACATAGAAATGATTAAATCGGTGTCCACTTTGCTGTGTATCTTCTTCAACATAAACAACAAAATAAAATGTAGGGAAAAAGGACAGGGGCAAATATATATATATTAAATTGTCCCAGTCAAAATGGGTTCCATTTTAATTGATAATCTATAATCTCCCTCTTGCACTACTGAACCAAATGCCAGGCACAGGCTGAAGGATCGTGATATGGCACTCAAGAAGAAAAGTCTGTCCCCACGGAACACACAAAGATGTCGTGTTGCTTTTAGACAAAGGCTCCCGCAGTGCTCAAAGTGCCCTATCTATCAACAAAAAGGCTGAGGAGCGCCGGTGCCCGCCCTCAGAGGCATGGCAGCCCGGCGAGGCCAAGGGAGCTTTGGAAAGCAAAGACCAGTCACAACGCCAAGCAGAGAAGCAGCTGCCTTCCCAGGCAGTGAGGTGGGCAGGGACCCGTGGAGCCCAGCGGGCTTCCTCCCAATGCCCTTGCTTCCCGAGCATTTGACACCACTCTGGGGAGGAGCGGGATCCGTGAGCATCCTTGGAGCAGCCGACAGGGATGGCTGAGAGTCTGCAACCAGGCTCCACCCGCAGGCACGCACGACCGAGCAGCTTCTGGAAGCCAGATACTGTGTGTGGTGCTGGGACTGACGGACAAGCCCTGCTGCCCCTGGAGGGTACCGCCTGAGGGCTCAGACGGACAGTCAAGGCTGCCCTCCCGTACCTCATCTGGAGGGGGGGGGGTGTTTACAGAGGACCCAGGGCTATTGTGACGACTGACTGGACTAACACACACACACACACTCACACTCACCATTGACAAGCTGCTGCAGGACCTGTATCATTTAATTAGCTGCAGGAACTCTCCGCTCTCCGGACATGAAAATTTGCTTAAGTGAGGGACACGGGTCCTTAATGAAAACAATCCATGTTCTTTTGGTCACCGAGGCGACCGTGAAATGGCCTGTTAAAGAGGATAGTTTATTTTTTATTTTTTTAAGAAATGAGGGAGGAGCTGATGATGGCTTTTTCTTGAGTTTCTTTGTTGTCCCGTGAATGTTGTCATTGCTTTGCAAGCTTCTAAGTGTGGTGAATAAGACTCCTCACTCCCCCGTTTCCAAAAGTGCTGCTTGTCTTTCCCGCCGACCATATTATCGTGCGTAAAGGCAGAGTTCAGCTCCACGGCACGGAGTACCCAGGTTCCAACAGCACAAGAGTACGGCCTCCCAACTTGGAATTGCAGCTGGAAACCACACACTTATTTTATTTACTTATTGGAGCCAAATACATCAGTTCTTAAAATCTCCCTTTATAACCACTATCTTTTATGCCTGCAGACTTCCCTAGTCTGTGTGCGCCTTCAAGGGCTGGAAGCATAAATAAGTTGGCTGTACCCCTTTCTGGTCTCCACGGTCTGCTCGCTTCCTGAATGGCCGGACTTCGGGCTCACGGTTCACTGCCATGAGCACACTTTAGGATTGATTGGGGTTTCAGGGGTGATTTATGCCTGGGGAATAGCTCATCCACAAGGTCCTACCGATTGTTAGGAAGGAGGCGGCTTTGGGAGGAATGAGATTGGATTACAGGCTCCAGGTGGGTGTCTAGCTAACAGTGTCTAGATAACAAACGTCTTGGCCGTTTGTCTCTTCGTTTAGCACTTACTGTCTGTCTCCTAGACTGTGATCCTCATGGTCAGCAGTTCAAAACTA